TTTTTTTACCCAAACTCAACCCAAGTATTAAAAATTTCAACTCTAACCCTATTTTTTTCGAATTGGACTCGGGTTGAATTTGAATTGGCCCGCCCAAATTGCACCTCTAACCCAAATAGCCGCACTGACCACTGTTACACCATGGCAACCAAGGAACGTATCAACATTGACAAGCGAACAAGAAACGCAGAGATTGAATAGTAGAAAAGCAAACAATATTGTGACACCGTGTATATTTAATTCTGTTGTAAAACCTTAGTTGAATCTTAGATTTGATTCATAAAGTCATAAAGACACTCATACTCCCTCTGATCTCACTTCTTAAATTTTTCAAAATACGAATAAAGACGAATCTACAGTGTTTTTTGAAATCAAATCACAAAATCCAGGCTATTTCCGTGAGAGTGAATTTGGATATAGAATTCCTCTTTTTCTTTGGTTTTGTTTTTAATTGTCAAACATTACTCTGTTGTTCCCATCAAATGAATGAGATAACAAACTAATGAAAAAAGTGACCAATTTAGATTTCATTGTTTGCCTTCTTTTATGAAAGGAAGTTACCTATGAGAGTGACTTTGGATATAGTATTGAAAAACGTTACCCAATTGAAAGAACACCATTATCACCACCATGTAGAATGTCATTGGATAAATTGGTTCCTTTTGGCTTTTTTAGACAATTTCTTTGTGGTTGTAGTACGCCCATCATAATAAATGAAGCTTCAAAATATTTTTGTGGTGATAACAACAATCCCAAATAGTATTTGTGGTAGCAAATAAACCTTTAAACTCCTCCGGTAAAAAAAGGTTTGTGACCATGGTTAGGTTAGGTTTGGTCATAACATGGGAGAAGACAAAAAAACAAAATTAAAATATAAGGGTAAAATCGAATAACATTCTTGTAAAATGAAAATTCTAATAAGGGTAATTAAGAAAATTACTTTCTCTGTTAAGTCTGTTAACTGACAAAAACTGACAGAGATATGCAATGATATTTAAAAAATTAGAGGGGGTGTATAACTTAAATCGAGGAGGTGTCAGTGAAATTTACCTGATTCTTTGATTTTATAAGTACAAACATCCTTTGTACTGTAATATCTACAACAATGCAACGCTACCACACATATTAATAGTTTATTGACCTTTTTCTACTAAATTAATATAGAACGTTAGATCAATAAATTTATTATTTATTTAATATCCATGAAATACTGAATATTTACAATTTTTTTTTATCTGATGCTATTACAAGTTTTCTTGGTTTACACTTGTATATTCATAAGAGGAAATGTCCCATGATGGTTTTCCTTGTCACCTGGGTATAGAAAGAGAAGAGCTTGCCTTTTCTAAAGAATGAACAGGACTTGTGGCTTACCCTATTTAGAAACTATGGATCTCTTTGATCTCTGAGGATCCATAACCACGTTCAATTTAATGCAAAAGGAGGCATTATAACCATGGGACCAATAGAGTACAGTGTCTCTCACTACAAAAAAATAAAAATAAATTAAAGATGGCATTTTGCCATCGCAAAAAATATATCTATCATCGCAAATACTATTTGTGGCGGCATTCTTCATGCCGCAAATTTGCTGTGCCTTTATCTGAAAAATGGTATTTCATGGGACCAACTCAATGAACACATGTAGAAATAGTCCAGAGAAATTTTTTTTGAACAAGTCTTTAGGGAGCAATTGTGAAAGTGAAAGAAAGTTTGGGGGTGGTGAATTTTTTTACGATATATGATGCCCCTTCTAGCATTGAAATTGTGCAATATGATACATTTCAAACTATGCAAAGATATTGAGCTTTGACCTTGGTAAGCTGTCATTGATAAAGACCATCCTCCCAATGACCTCAGGACATGCATCCTGTTCCTCTTTGTTTTGGGAGGAGGGGGTGGGGGTGGGGGTGGGGGCGGGGGGACAGAATTCCCACTTATTGTAACTTTGAATTGATGTTCAACAGCACAAAACAACCAATCATAGAGAGAAAACACATTCTGTTCAATAGGAAGTGTAATCATAATAACCATAGTACAGGACAGGTGTGAGATGCCACACAGACGCACGCATAACACCTGACAGATTTATCACCAGAACCAAAATGAGCTGCTTATCCAGTAAGCAATGAGTTGCTTTTTATACTAAAAAGTTTGACTTAATTCACTTACTTAACAAAATTACAATGACATAATCAAATAATATTATCGCAGTTGTAATTGTTAGATCTCTTTATTTGAACCATATCACTTCACACATTATCACGTTGATAAATTAGTTCATATTTTTATGTCTAAATAACATACCTAAGTCATTGGCCATCACAATAATAGAGAGCATTATATCTCCAGGCCAGTGTTGGGGGATATATAAAGACATGTAAAAGTTTGAATCTTCCAACTTTCCATCAGCAAGACACATCACAGAAAAAAGAAGTCCTCTGCAAAACATTAAAAGAAAAAAAAAGCTCCATTAAACCACCAAAGCTTATAGTGTTAAATGTCGTGGAAAATATTTGTTGTTCCTCCTAAGTATGATCTCAGAGAAAGTTCATCATTTTAAAAAATTAAATGGTGAAGAATGGATTAATCACAATCCTTCAAACTTAAAAAGCAAACATTACTGAAAAAAGAATGATGACAAAAGACCCGTTTATAGCTGACTAGACTAGGGTGTGCTGAAAGCTGCCTGCAAGACATGTGATCATTACATTAGTAATTTTGGATACTAATATGAATACAACACCATATTGATACGATAATATGATAAAACTTTTAAAAATAGAATATAAATACAAGTAAGATACACGTATATGTATATGAATAAAATACGGATCTATATATATATATATATATATATATACTCACACATGAACACACACATATATGTACATATATGTGAGGGATTAAGAGATAAAATAAATCTCAAACTAAAAAAAAATTATTTTACTGACATTGGGACTATTTAACAGTCTTTTAAATCTAATGTTCTATGTAATTTTGAAGCTGAACTTGTGTCTTTAAGAGTGCTCAACTTTTACTTATCATTTAATTGATAAAAGGCTTGGCTTTGACATAAGTTATAAAAAATTCATTATTCAAATCAAACAAATCGTAAAGAATTGTAGAGATATGTGCTGCACGTCCAAATGAACCTATTGGAACAAAAAATTCTCATTTATATGATTCATGATTTTTACATTGCCAAGATTCGTGATTTCTAAACAGAAGTATAAGGTAAATGTTTCCAACTTGGGGATACACGTATTCGAGATGGGTGTGGAGCAAGTATTCAAAAAATAATAAATATTTTATCAATTATTAGACACATACAGAACATATCCCATACATATTCGTGCATATCCAATAAGTATCGATATCTAATACATATGAAATATGAAAACGTCAATCTGATTGAAATATCTGTGCTTCATGGTCATTATATATAGCTCAAGCAAAAAAGGGAAATGAAAGCCATCGTTCTTCACGTTAGTGTACATTCCATTTCAAACAATGAAATCTTGAAGCATGAAACATTTCAGGGCTATGCAACTTTTTCTGGAATATTTAACAAAAGCACCGTACAAAGGTCTGAAAAATACATTGTTCAAACTTTGAATATTGTCTATTTTAGCTTGGCTAGTTGGCCTATGGGTCAAACAATTGTGCACACCATCCATAAATCCAACACAAAATTGACAAAGAGTTAGGGATTGGTTTTAGTTTTAGTGACTTTGAATGGATCTATTAGATAAAAAGTTGACCTAGCTTATTGACCTAAAATGTGATGGTGACACAATCTAAAAGAATTATTGTGACTATAACTATTAAATTTTTTTTATAAAGACTCTATTATTGCCTCATAAGTTAATAAATTAGATCAATTTTTTAAATTTTAATAACATTCCTCTTTTAAAAAATTAGAACCTAAGAGTTAACTTAGATTGCCAATCCTTCAAGCTTAAAAGCAAACATCAGAAGGAAAAAAAAAATAGTGGTGACAAAAGACCAGCCTGTGGACTTTTCTAGCTGACTGGACTGTGAAGTGTCAAGGCTGTGAGAACTTCCATTTTCTGGATTATCAAATTCTATAGAAAAATGATATGATCACTGTTCTTCAAGTCATTATTAGACTAGTTTAGCTTACCTAATCTTGTTATACATTCTTTCGGTGCTGAAGATAAATAATTCAGTAAAGTACCTGTCCACACCTTAATGAATGTTCATTTCATTCCATTGATAGATTTCGAAAAAGTTAAATCAATGAAACAAGAAACTTAGAATTAGAAAGGTCCTTAGACTTCAGAAGAAGACCAAAAACTCATCAAACATATCCAAGAGCATGGCCATGGAAGCTGGAGAGCCCTCCCTAAACTTGAGGGTATCTATAGCTTAACCACGGAAATGCATCTCCCTCCCTCTCTCTCTCTCTCTCTCTCTCTCTCACTCATATTGAGGATCCAAAGGAACTCATGCACGAACTAATCGCCGGCATTTCCATCAAACCTGTGTATTCATAAAAATGAAAATTTTTTCGTCATTTTTTATATCCAATCATAAAATTTTATGCAGTGGATATCTGGAAGAGAGATGCAGTGGATAACTGTGGATCCAAAATTCTGACCCCAAGGTTGTGGGTTCAGGGGCTGGTAGAGAGAGAGAGAGAAGAGAGATGCAGTGGATAACTGGAAATTTTAGTGTGAACCTTCATATATATACACAGTATATAGATAAGAGGCTCCATATATAATTTTTTGTTGGTAGTTATACTAATCATTTTCTTGTAAAGACCTTGGGGGATGTGATGGTTCCATACTGCTTGAAGATATGGCAAACATTTGATCTTATTCATCATTTTCAAAAGAAATATATACAGACACTAGTTGCCGGCACTAAACCTAAATCTACATCACTGATCACACCCATATGTTTATTCATGAAGGCCTGATTTTTTGATATCCATTCACCATCCAACCACAGAATTTTACACAGTGGAACCTTTACAAAGTTTCCCAGACAATGAACTTTCCATGAATTTCCAGGCCAACCTGCACGGCATATTCATTGTCATTTCCTAACCGATAAACGCTTAGCAACTCACCGGTTCGAAGACCCTTTGCAAATGCAAAAGCACGCCAGTCGTGCGTCAGAGAACGCCTCTCATCTGCCCTTACTGAGGCTATGAATTCATATGTGATTCCGTCTCTGTCAGTTACACGCATGACCTCATTTCCGTCTGGCAAATAATCTGCCCAGTTGGGTATTTCCAGGTTGCCATGGACATCCCTATTTGAGAGCCGTTTTTCAAAGCACAAATATGCAGGCTCCATTTTTCCAAACCCTGAAGAAAAGAAGATGGATTAATTAGTATCAATGTTGTCATTGCGGAATAGAATATAAGAGAGTGAGAGGAACAGACTTCATTTCTGTTTTGTTTGAGTATGAGAAGTGAGAAAGACTAACTAAAGGGAATATACTGGTCCTAGTTAGTTATATATCATTATATTATAGTACTCTTTATCTTGTGAACACTTTATTTTCTTGATCTCAAAAGTTCAAGTCTTTTCCCTCTCTCCCTCTCTCTCTTCCTCTCCCTCCCAAAAAAAAATTTAAATTTATAAAAAAAAAAAAAGTTAGCGATAGAGACTTCACACGCGGACAGAATTTTGGGGAGCTAGAGAGGGAACTCCTGAACTGAGATTTAGTCGAGTAGCTAAGGAAAAGAAGGATTCAAATGGCTAGAGAGAGAAGAGTGAGAAAGGGAGAGAGAGAAGATGCGAAGTCTTGATGGCTGACAAATGTTGTTTTGTAGCCGGTCTTTAAACTAAAAGACAAAGGGCGTTTTATCCGACTAGAGCTTTGGATCCACATAAGCACGTAGCAACATCTACTGCTGGATTGTTTGTGGATTGGAAAATAAATATTCCTCTCAGAAATCAGAATACTCCAATGTAAGTTTTTATTCGTTTCTTTTTCTGCACTATTTTTTTTAATGGTTGTTACATACGAGTGCTTAAATCTCATTCTTCCTAAGAAAAATAGGGTTTCTGTAGCATTCAATGAAGAACCCATTCCAGAAACCATTTGGCTTTGAAGACAAGTAGTAGTACTCCTGCTGTCTCAATGAACCTGCATATTTAAATTTAGGATAAACTTTATCCACACCCTGGTAGATAGACGTAATTTTAATGATACTCCTTACTTTTTAAAATTATCACTACACTGCCTCCTAGTTTATATGTTTATTTCACTGACACCCCCTTGCCATTCATAAACAAGTTAAAAGATGTTGATCTTATCTTAGATTATTTCAATAATACATAAACTACCTTTATGTCAATCTTCATCTTGTGATTGCTCCCATTGGCAAGGCCCACCAAATATTGATCAAAATATTTTTGATTGAATGTAGAGTTGTCAACTCATTTGATAAAAATATTTTTTAGTAAAATTTTTTGATAAACATGGCATTAAACATTGATAAATGGGTTTGCCAAGTGAACTACATTTAATTACAAACATATCCAGAAATTGAAGTGGTCCTTAATCTTGCTGTCCAAGTTAAAATTGGACTGATAAAGCAAATGCCCTTTTGAAAAATATATTATTGTTTTTGCCCTTAATCTCCAGAATCAAATGAAAACCGTCCCTGGTGGTGGAGTCAGAAATTCTGTCCAGGGTTAGCAATTCACTCAGAAATCTTAAAAAAAAATATTTAAACATATTTAGAAGTGTTCAAAGTGTGTCTAAAAGTTCATAATTATTTAGTTGGGTTAATTGCACCAGAGGTCCTCAAAAGATTAGGTTTGTCTCATTTTAGTCTTCAATATTTCAATTGAATCATTTTAGGCCCTAAGATATTGAATATGTTTATATATAATCTCTCAAACATACACAATTTAAATTGCTAACAATTTTTTTGTCATAAACTTCTCACATAGTACATGGACAAAAAATAATTTGGGTAGCCTTGACCAAAATTTGGGTTGTTGTTGACCAAAATATGTAATATGAATAGAATTTAACCAAAATTTAGATATCTCATGATCAAAACTATATAATTTGTGTAGCTCTTTAACTAAAATTTGAAGAATTTTGATCAAGAATTATTTAAATTATTTTTTTACTCATATTTAGGTATCATGTGATAAGTTTATAATAAGAAACATATTCAATACTCTAAGGACCAAAATGATACAATTGAAATATTAAGGATCAAAATAAAACAAGCCCCATACTTTAGAAACCTCTAGTGCAATTAACCCTATTTAGTTATGTGGCTATACTATTTATAGAATAAAAAATAATAGAATAGAAACACTTAAATATATTTAAAATAATTTTAAGAGCTAATCTCAACTTACATCCGAAAAGATTATTTGAATCTCAATTTGCACCTTGAAAATTTAAAAATATTAATTTACGCCCTGAAAGATATAAATACTTATCAATACACACCTATGATTAATTGTCATCTATTTTGCAGTTAAAAAGTTTGGATTAATTATGAATTTCACCCCTCAAGTTTAAATATTTCACATTTATGATTCAAAAACAATTTCATTCATTAATGCTTATTAAATAGCTCTCAATTGTATCATATCATAACATTTTTGTGTTGTGTTCTAATTAATAAAAAAATATTTTAAACAAAAAAAATATTTTCGTGTCGAGTCAATTGCGTTGTGTCATATATTTCATATTTACAACAATTCATAAAATACCATTTAATATTTTTTTTAAATTAAAAAATATATATTTTTTTGCCTATAACACTCATTAAATAACTATTTTCTATCTACAATTGTGTTATCGTATTTAACTTTAATTTGATCGGACAATCAAAGATTTGTATGTAACTATAGATAGAAAATAGTTATTTAACTAGTATTGTAGGTTAAAAAAAGGTATTTTGTAATTTTTTTTTGAAGTTTTTAAAATATTTTTTTTATTGACTTAAATACGACACGAAAATGTTATGATATAATATAATGGAAAGCTATTTAACGAGTATGAATAGATGAAATTATTTTTGGATCATAAATATGCAATATTTAAACTTTGAGGGTATAATTTATAATTAGTCCAAATTTTTTGAACACAAAATTGGATGAAGTTAGTCTCGAGTGCACATTGATACGAATTTTTATCTTTCGGAGTATAAATTAATATTTTTAAACTTTAAAGGTACAAATTGAGATTTCAATGGTCTTTCAGGATATAAATTAAAATTAATCCTAATTTTAAATATTCCTAAATAATATTTAAAAAAAAAAACAGGATGAGTCCGTGCCTACCTGATCCTCATGTGGCTCCGCCACTGCCCCCACTCCATATTCCCAAAGTCTCATAATTGTCCTACCTTCACGAAAGGGCCTTGTACTTTTGAAGAAGACAAAGACTTATCAAACATATCCAAGAACATGGCCATGGAAGCTGCAGAACCCTCCCGCATCTCTCTCTCCTTCATATTGAGGATCCTTTTCGAACCATATATAGTGTCGGCCGACCCTGCAGTGTAAAAATAAAACGTGGGCTTTGTACCCCCCACCTATGAAAAATGGCCCAAATTTAAAGATCAATAATATAATATAAGTTAAAAAATAAAATTTATTACAATATAGCCTAACAAAATAATTTTTAAAAAAGTAAATCAACAAAAAAAATTCAAATTTGGGCTCAAAAGTCTAGACCACTTTACAAAATCACATTTATTAAAAAACAAAAAAAGATTAAAAAAAAGTGCTGATAAAATTCATCTCTTTCTCCTATTGAAAGAAGTATAATGAGCATTTCTCTTTAATAAAAGAAAAATTCAAACAAAACACATTCTTTCCTTCTCTTAAACTTATAGTTTTTCTCATTTGAATGCAAAACACCAATTAAACCATTTATTTTCATTAAAAAAATATTTTGATAAAGTTCTTATTCGTAACAAATAAAATATAACAAAAATTTAAGTAAAAGTTGCATAGATAAATAAGTAAAATTTAAATAATAGTAAAATAATTCAAAAGAAAGATAACAATAAATTTATTTATAATAAAATCAATCATCTAATACCAGAATTTCGATAAAGAACATATAAAACAAATAAAAAGAATATGAAAATATTAATGAAGAAATTAATTTTATTGCTATAAATATTTAGATCAAAATTCATATTATTAATCAAAAAAATATATATTAGAAAAATTTGAATAAAAAATCATTAGCAATTTTGAATCTCATCAAAAAGTAAAAATAATAGATTTTAAATTAAAAAATTAAATTACTATTAAAAAAATAAAAAAATTACATTGGCCGTCGTTACTTTAGACCCCAAATACTGTTGAGCCACCCCGTATAACGATTTTCACAATTTTCATTTCAAACAAGGTGGTCTACAATTGCAACTCGCCTACCAGGACGCACAGACAATGAAATGAAGAATTTCTGGAACACCCATTTCAAGAAGAAGCTAATTCAGATGGGTTTTGATCCAAAGAAACTCATGCAGAAACTGATCACTGGCATTCCCGTCAAACATGTTAATTCATAAAAATGAAAAGTTATTCCTCATTTTTTGATTTCGAATCACAAAATTTTATGCAGCGACAAATTGGAACTTTTTTGAGTGAACCTTCATATAATGGTTCTGAATAACGGTAACGGTGTAACGGATACGGAGTAAAACGGACGTTACGTAACTGTAACGGAAATTGAATGCGTGATTTTTTTTCATCTCACAATCTCCCATAGAACATGAATATTACATGTTTTAACTTAAAATCGTGCAAATATGGGTGTTTAGTGATTTAGTTTATTTTATTATATCATAAACATAATAATAAAATATCATAAGTATTAATAGTATTTCTTAAGTCATTATGCATCAGTGACCTTTTCATTAGCAACAATAGAACAAATGAAATGCATAATTACAAATGTAACAATTTATTAAATGAAACATATTGATATAACCAAAATGATTTTTAGAATTGTACAATCCAATAAAAAAAAAAAACAATAGCATTACTTTTCAACAATCTCACCACTAAAAAGAACAACGCAAATAATCAAAACATTGAGATTGAGATTGAGCTTGATTACTTTCACTATTATCATTCCATCACGTGGGCAACATATAAGTAAATGTTCTAAATTCAACTCCATCTTGTCGTGGCTGTTCTTCATATATATGCAATTTCAAGTAATTGTTAGGGTTGAAAGCCTTAAAGAATTATCTTGGGGAGGTAAAGGTAGAAGGTAGTGTTGAGGAGAGTAACTATAAGGGTAGGGACTATAATTTTCAGTTGGATAGCCTGATGAGTGGTAGTTTTCATTATCACTACTATATGA